CACGCCGCGGGCCACGGCATCCTCCACGATGTCACTAAGGCATAAGGAGAGGGGGCAGGGGGACAGGTCTGAGCAGGCGTGCCTCTGGAGGGGATGACGCATGCCCCGGCCAGGTCTGAAATGAGAGGGATAAAAATAGGTCCACGCAGAGAGCGGAAAGGAAGCTCCTACCGGAAATATGGGACATCCGTCATCTCGCACCAGGCCCTGGCACGATCCACAGCTGGGCCATCTGCGTCAGTGCACTGCAGGAGAAACAGGCCCGCAGTTAGAGCCTGACTAGCACGCTGCTCTCCCCCCTCCCCGCCCGCAAGAGGTTCCCCTGGCACCAAGTCGAACTGCACGAGCCGCAGAGGGAGAGGGAAAACCGGGAGCGAGTTCATCCTGGATGGCACCACTCACCACCAAGCGGGGTGGCTTTGTATTTGTGCGTTTTTTGTTGTTGTTTGTTTTTTAGTGTAAGAACGGTGCTCCTGATCCTTGGGACAAAAGGAATTGCACCTTACAGATCATCCATCACAGCACCGAGTGGATTCCCTTAAAGAAACCCCCAGGATGATCTGAATCTCAAGCCTCCTCAGGATTTCACCTCTATCCATTTCTGCCCAAGCCCAGCACCAGCAGAGCCTGTGATTACTGCAGGCTTTCTGGGCTATCCTGGGACAGCTTCCCTCGGAGCTCTGAAATAAAAGACAGGGGAAGCAAAGGGACCTCCCTGGGTGTTTTCTGGCTATAGGAAGCTAAATGGAGATAAAGCAACAGAATTAAGATTATAGTCAGAACCTCAGTTCTGATCTTTCTGGCTTTTATTCATTGGGAGTGTTTTCATGCACAATATGTAATGAGCTCCCTTCTGAAGCAGGCAAGAACGTACATCTATTACACACTCCTAACCATAGCTCTAAACTACTGCTTTTTATTAGTGACACTCCCACTTCTCTAGATTTTACTAATTTCCCCAGTAGAGATAACAAAGCTTTTCTAAAGAAAAATGAATTTCTGTTTTTCCAAGGTGTGATTTTTTTTGGTCCATGTTGCTCAGATTATAGTCAGTGCTCCACGGAAAGATACTGAGTTTCATGAACACACACGTGCAAATGTTCCTAAGGGGCACTGATCACCATCCCGTCCTCAGCTCCTTTCAGCTGCAAGAACCTCCTTTGGCGCTCAAAGCCCCAAAGAGGCAGACGGGGCTTCAGACCTGCTGTGCTCCCGCAATTCTTGAACTGACCACGGTCGGAGCAATTCCAAGGAAAGAAAATTTTCTTCCAAAAGGAAGAAGCTGAAGACTGAAAACCTTTGCTCCCTCCCTGCAAGCAGCCCCAGGGGTCTTCCCCCATCGCCTCCTCTCAGTACTCACACAATCCACCACCATCTTGCCGAGCTCCCTGGCCCCAAAGACAGTCTTCGCCAACTCCCAAGGGTTGGAGGGGCGGAAAACATCCACAGAGCTCACCGGGACCTGCGGAGGCTTCCCTGTCCCCAGGGAGACCACCAACCCCAGTCTTCTTACTTCCTGCCTCCGACCCTGCGGACAAACAAGAGATTTGTTTGCAAGGACCAACAATGAAGGTGGAGCAGGTCTTTCACAGGGGTCTTGGGGAAGCTCTGAAAGTCAAGGCAAGACGCTCGGTAGCCTTTTCTCTCCTCCATCCTCCCCCTTTAGTACTGCCTGGTGAGACAGGTATAATCCACGGGACTTCAATTGTTGCACTGTTCCGTCCCTTACACCCCTGGCTGCACCCAAATTCATGGGATCACCCCAAAGATGAGTCCTGGGACCAGACAATGTGAAACAGTCCAACTCTTTCAGTCATTTTGACAACAAACCTCCCCTTTTAGCTACAGGGAGCAGCAGCTGCCAGTACTTAAGTCATCTTTCTGAGGAACTTGCCACACCACAGAAGGCATTCACCCTTGAGCCTTGCAGAGTGCCCTACCATTGTCTTCTCCATCTATTTTTGGGCAGAAAAAGGCTCTGTAGAGCTGCGTCAAGGGCCACACACAACCACCAACTGAATCATCCTTGCTTAAAGTAGCAAGGCCAGGCTGATGGGGCTGCCTCCCCATCTCACACCCTTGTCAGAGGAGGTATTTCACCCCTCAGCCTCCATTCCCAACACATATCCCCCTCTATACACTCCCTTCCAGGGCGCTGCACTGCTAGCTTGTTTATCCACTAGAGAGGCATCCGTTCCCAAACTCTCTTCCCATTCAAGGGAGGCCCAGTGGAGCCAATAAAGCCTCAGTCACCAGTCAGGGCCAGGGTTTCCCTCACCTTCTTGATCAGCGTCTTGTTGTACTCGTGGATCTCCGCCATGGCATCGAGGGTCGGGTTGTTGGCTAGCAGCCCGCCATCCAGAAAGCGGCCTATGGGCCGGAAATAAGTGGGAGCTGCACCGCTGCAGCGGGCAGCGCGCCACACGAGTTGGTCTGGAGGGAGAGAAAGCACACGGCCTCTTGCAGCAACTTTCCTGTGTGCGAGAAGCACCCTGCCTTCACCAGCACACAGCAGGAGGACTTGCAACCCCAGAGGACCCTGCCCTGCAGCTGTGCCTCTTTCTCCCAACAGCACGGCCTCTGCTTGGAGGCACAGGATTATTTCAGGGGATGTTCTCGCCACTTTCTACGTATCCTGGGTCAAATTCACTCCCTACCAGCTTTATTGCTGGTCTTTTGACAGTGAACCAGTTATGCTTGCTAGACAAAGAAGCAAGCTGGAGGTGGCCACATGCTTCAGTGACATAGCTTTTCCATGTTAATCTGCTCCTGAGAGTCCAGGGAAAGGTACGCAGGACTCCTCTAGCAGACCCCTTCCTCACGAACCTCGCTAGCCAGCCCCTGTTCCCGGTACAAGAGAAGCCAAGGGAGGAGGAAAGAGGAGAAAAGAGAACCATCACTAGGAGCAAGCTGCAAGATCAGGGATAAGCCATTGCCAGGACACCCCGATTTTCAGAGCAACAGGAGAAAGAACAGGAAATCTTCTGTCTCTGAGGGACGGCCCCCTCCCCTGCCAACCAGCTGGACTGCTGTGTGCCAGCATTTACCTTCTGGCGGAGTGAGTGGTTTGAAAGATGCGCTTGTCTTGTATTCAGTGGAGGTTTTCGTCTCTGGTACAGGGTAATTCCGGAAAAGGTGGAGCTCAGCCGGCTGTCGGTCACACAGTGTCCCTGTCACCATAACCCTGGGGGAGAGGACATGAGAGAATGAGGGTAAAATGGAAAAAAAACCCTTCAACAGTCTGCACATCACACTCCTCCAGATCTGCTCTAAGGAGAGGCTTAGCATCTCTGCTGAGAGTGGTCTAGAGCACACTCAGGAGAGCATCAACCAGCGCAGCCCCAGGCAGAACTTACTTGGGTTTTTGGACATCTGTCATTTTGGTGTTTTCCCCAAATTCCTTCTTCAAGAACTCATCCAGGGGCTCCGACTCGTAGGGCCGAGACCCCCGGAACACCATGTCCTTCATGCGGAAGTACAGGCAGCGCATGTAGTCCATGGACTTCCCTGAGACGGGCAACAGCATCGGCAGGAGCAGAGGGTGGGAGGAAGGGCAGGCAGAACAAACAGCACATCAGAGCTGGGACTTTCCAGGACCAGCAGGAGATGGGAGGTGTCACTCCCAATCTTATCCCCTTCCTAAGCTGCCTGTCTGCTTGGACCTCAGCAGCATGACTGGGAAGGATTAAAGAGGAAGGGCAAGCTTGGAGCGTAGTTTCCCACTACCAGAAAGCATCCATCACCTTGCTGTAAAACCCCCGTGGAGAGAGCAGGAAGAACAGAACATTGCACTCTGCCACCACACACTTCCCAAAACCCAGAAAGCTGCTCAAGGCCGGCCGATGCGAGAAGCGAGTGCAAAGCCAGGTCTAGGCTTTCCTTCATTAACAAACATCCCTTCCCTCCTTTGGCAGGGACAACAAATCTGTTGGGACTCGGAGAGGCAGCTCCCACCCCGCATCCGCTCCCCACAGAGGAGCGCTCAGGCCTACGGGAGCAAGAAGGGGCCCGTTATTTGCACTGTCCTCACCATGTACAATAGCCAAGGCCAAGATCCCCCCAGTGCTGGTCCCCGCGATCCAGTCAAAAATCTCTCGAACGGGACGGCCCGCAGCCTTTTCGATAGCTAGGAGGAGCTGGATGAGCACCAGGCCCCGGATGCCCCCTCCATCCAGGCACAGGAGGCGGTCGTGACTGGAGAGAGAGAGAAAGAGACCTGACACAGATGACTGGGAACTGTGGGACAGCTTACAAATCACAGCACGCTGCGTGGGAACGCAGCCCTGGGGACGAGAAACGATGCCAGTAACAAGAACGTTGCTGCAGACAGTGTAATCAGTGAACAAATAAATCCAGCGGTGCTTCCTCAGATGCAAATAAGGCTGGATGCAGCCAGACAAGCCTTGTCAGAGCTGGGGCAACGCCACTTGCTCTTTTAGCCACCTCTAACCTCTACAGCAGAGACACATTCACAAGCTGAAAATGCATCCAAGTCCCTCACTATGCAGTAATGGGTACCATGTCATAAATAAAAAGCAGACAGCCCTAAGTTCCTGCTAGTAGCACTTCAGTGCCAACTCTCCCTCCGCACCACGCAAGGCGAGGTGCAGGCACTGCCAAGGCAGCGCACAGCCTGGCAAAGGAGGTGGCTGAGCGTCAGGGCAGCGCGTGGAGATGTGGAAATCACAAAGCCAAAGCAGCATCTGGTGCCCAGCGGCAGAGGGGAGGGACAGAACAGAGGTTTCACCTGCTGAGCTCGGGCTCCACTGCAGCTCCAGGGCTGCCAGCAGGAACAGGCGGTGGCTGTTTATGGGAACAGAGATTTACCGCAAGGTTCTGGCAAAAACTGCAATGTCAATGAATTTTAAATAATGTCAGCTCTGAGGACGCCACACCCACAGGTGTGGGTGAGAATTCACACACACGGATTTCACCTTCAAGTTGCTCAGAAGCCTGGACAGAAGGTGTTCCTCACTTACTTTCTTCTACCCTCACTGGGTGAGTCCACAACGTCTGGTGCCTTCAATAACTGTCCGAGCGTTGTGGAAACATACAGAAGGTCCTTGTACCCTAGAGAGCCATGAACATGCAAAATGAAAAAAAAAAAAAAAAAAAATTAAAAAATGAGAGACCACTTTGCTACCTGAACTCCCTGACGCGTGCCTCAGAGACAGCAGTCAACCAAATTACACTTAATCAATTAGAAAACCTTAAATTATTTCTCCTACTGTCTATCTGCCCCCAGAAGGCCTGGCCATGCTACCCAAACCTCCCACGAGTGCAGTAAACTATTTCCACCATAATCACACAAAGAACATCCAACTCCCTTCCCAATCAAATAAAGCTCCCTGCAGCAGACACAAGCCATCTTACCCATAGCCACCAGGTTCCCCCCGCCCAGGTTAAACCCCGCACCAAAGAGGAGAACCCCTGTCCTTTGGAGCAGGCAGCTGGAGATGCACCGGCAAAGACAAAGGATTTGTAGAAGCAGATGATGAGCAGAGCAGGCGAGAGAGGAGGCAGAGCCTAGCAGCGTGCCCACTACGCAGTTTACTGTAAGCCGTAAGATACAACCTAAATCTACCCCTGCGAGGTAACCTAGACAGGAGAGCTGTGGGGACAGGGTGGCTTGTCGTTACCCCTCAGCTGACGTACACCCAGGCCACCCTGGGTGCAGGGCACCAATCCAGGCTAGGTGAGAAGCCAGCCTGCAAAACCTAAAGAAGAAAGAACAGTGGGGGAGAAGTTCAATGCTCCTGCCAGTGCCCAGGCCAGAAGGTGGCTGCAGATGACAATGAATGTGGTGAGAAGTTTCTTCAAGGGCCAGAGTCCATGACAAAATAAACGCCTTGCTCTGTCACTGCATCAGAGCTGAAACTGGGGAGGTCGCCTTCACAAGACCGTGGTGAGAAGAAAGTTCTGGTGTCACGAGCCAGTGAGACTTGTGGTGACACCGACGCACTCCAGGGCTGGGAAGGGGTTGTCCTCTAGCCCCACAGGAGGGCCTTTGCAAAGGAAATCACCAGCCTGAGAGGGGAAGTGGACCACAAGCTGCTGTTATCTGCCTGCATGCCCCTCTCACAAGGGTCAGAGCCTCCCTCCAAGCCAACTCACCCACCACCCACTCCATAACCCCTCCTGCTGCCTCTGCCCGAGCTCTGGAGCTCCCCAGAGGAGGAAAGCCCAGCACCTAGAATAGACCCATGGGCTTACTCACACCGTCTGGGCAGTACAGAGCACAAGCTACCACACAGTCATATGTCCTAAGACAGGCTTCTTCTATACTGTAAACCCTGTGACCAGGGTTGCTTATCCTTGGGCTTTACCCCTTCCCTCTCCCAGCTGCTGGCCCCCAGGATCTGAATGAGCGACGCTTCTAATTTCCTTGTGCCCAGCACGACAGCAGGAGGTTCTCAAGGCAGACCAGGAAGTACCTCCCCTTCTGTACACGACCCAGTGGATAAAGTACACATAGGCAACTAAGTCCTACACCTCTTCCAGAGGGGTGAGGGAACCAGTCTTCCCTTTCCTTTTTACAGGGAAGCACTGTGATGGTCTATAAAGCAAAAGTTTAGAGTACAAGAGTTTAGAGTACACACACAGGAAAAGCATAGACAAGAGATAGGATCCTGCAATGATCTGAATGAGGACAGCCACCAGAAATGGAGAGCTAGGAGACAGTCCCCAGAGCACGGCCCACCTGAAGAAGAGATCTGAGACACCACTGTGAAGCAAGAAGGGAGGAGAGCGAGGGAGGGCCAGGGAAGGCTTTACCTAAGCTGTTGAAGCTGCTCCGCGAGGAAGGTTGGCCTTCCAGGAAGGAGGCGGCAGATGGTGCCAGGCTTGGGGAGTCAGGGTTGGGTGGGTGGCAGCGTTCGGTCCCTACAGTTTGCAGCAGGTCTAAGAGCACTTTCCGGTTCGCACCTTAGGTGACGAAGGGGGAGTCACAGATCAGAAAGAGAATCAGCGCACGCACACACCGGTAGGGGGGGCTCTGCCAAATTCACAGCAGCCCTGACCCTCATAAAAACCTCCGGGATGACATTGGGAAAGGGAAAGCACGTCCCGGGTATTTCTCCCCCAAACACCAGGCAGCGGGACCTGTGTACAGCAGGGACACCCAACGGTGTGCAGCTTCAAGGGTGTGTGCCGCACACTTCTGGCCAGTGAAGAACCGCCCGTGTCTGCTTATGCTTGGGTGGTTCCGCAGCGCTGTGCCATCCCGTTGCGAACCTGCAGTGCCTGACATGATGCCTTGACAGGGGTGGAGTGCATGCCAGCTTTTCCTCTTGCATCTCCGTCCCATAGAAGAGAAATCCATCAAAGGATATTAATATAAAGCCTATGCCACTAGCTCAGGAAGTGCCTACCCTGCGAGCAACTAGAAGCTGGGAAAGCATGTTGCAGAGCATCACCCACGCTTGGCATGTTTTCACCTCTGCCCAAGACACTGTTTTGGCCACCAAGGGGAAACAGGATGCCAGGTTCACCCTGTGAGGCTGATGACACGCTCCCTCACCTTTGCTGCTTCTGGCTGCCAACAGCCCTGGTGTCTCCCCAAAATCATTGGGGATCTCGACATCTCCTCCAAAGACGATGATCGCTTTGATCATATCCAGGTGGTCATGCTAGGGGACAAGAGAAAGCTCAGTCAAGAGCCACGCTCCCCTTGGCTACACGATTTCTCGTGCCCTCCCTACTCTTTTCATTAGCCAAAGCACCCACAAGGGATCACCCCATGAAAGACAAGGGCCAGGATTTCAAAGGAGTCTGTCCCTGCCTCAGCCCTTCAAGAAAATCCTCTCTCTCCCTCCCATCAACCCCTCTCTCCCTCCCATCAACCCCTCTCTCCCTCCCATCAACCCCTCTCTCCCTCCCATCAACCCCTCTCTCCCTCCCATCAACCCCTCTGCAGAAAACTCACCTTCATGGCCAGGTGCAGCGGCGTGTTGCCATCCTGACCCCTGGCATTGGTGTGGGCCCCGTGTGTCAGCAGTACCATGGCGCAGTCGAAGCGGCCCCTCTTGACCGCAATGTGCAGAGCCATGTCAGCCGTCCGGCTGGTCAAATTCACCTCAGAGCCGTGCTCCAGCAGCAGCCGTGTCATCTGCGCCCAGGCACGCACGTGCCAGGTCAAGAAGAGAGAAAGCCATCGTGAGGACAACCGCCCCGGGTGCTCAACCGATCCAGGTCTCACGGCAAGCAAAGCAGGACGCTTAGCTTGGACTTGACTGGCTGGCAGATGCCAGCTGCCTTGTTCCAAGCACTGGAGGTGGGGTTTCTCTGTCTTTTACCACAAGAATAGTTGGTGGTTTCACAATCTGGCTAGAGCTTCTGGATGTTTTGGTACTTACATGAAATCGTAGCAACTGGCTGAAAGCAATGGAGAAAAACCAGTTCCTACTCAGGCCAAAATCCCTGTGGACTGGAGGAAAAAGTTTGCTTTCTGTCCTTGTCTTTATAAGCCAAGGAGATTTATGTCTGCTCCAAAACTCCACAGGACGCTTCTGAGAGGGATGTGACACCACAGGACGGAAAACAGTCCTGACACAGTAATGTCCTCTGCTTGCAACACGCACCACTCAGGTGCTCCACCATGCACATCACACCACTGACCTGCCCATCTCCGGCACAAGATGAACCATGACCCATACGCCACCACCCTGTGTCAACCTCCTACTCTCCCTACGGTTTTCAAGGCAGCAATCTGCTTCCTTCCATGAAACCGTCAGTAATGAGAAGATGGCTCCTCCCCACACCACTCCAATTTCCCCAACGAAAGGGACAAGGGAGAAGCTGGCAGTTTCACAGCCAAGGACGACACACTAGGGATGAGCCCACCGGTTTGTTTCAGGTTTGCTCCACTGCTCTGTCCCCCGTGGCAAACAGCACTGAGCAGCACGTGGCAATCAAAGACCGGACTGCTGGCTGGGCTCTGACACTCCCAGTGCTCTGCACATGCACCCAGGACAGGGAGAGGTCAGCAGCAGGAGGAATTAACCGCATTTAAGGCCCTCGCCACAGACTGGGTGCATTTACCTCTGCCTTCTTCGCCCAGTGCAGCGGAGTGGCTTCATAGCGTGGGTCCTTGGAGCGAACCTGGCTGGCGTCCACCTCGAGGATGGCCTGGGCACACCTGGCAAAGACAACGAGATGAAGATGATGGGTGGCTGCTGTCTTGACTCAAGACTTCCACTCGCAGCAGCACCTGCTTCCTCCTCCAGGGGCTTTCAGGAAACCCTCCAGCAGGCGCAGGCTCTCTGCAACACCTGCATGTTCCTCAGCTGCAGTTTTGGTTTGCTCTTTTTAGAAAGGAAGGGCACAACAGGAAGCATACAAGCAGCGCAGCACTCGGAGGAAGCAGGAGAATCCCTTCCCAATTCCAAGTTGTGAAGCAGCATCTGGGTGCTTCTCCAACACAGCAATATGGCATTTCTGGAAACTCTCAAGACCCAAGGGGAAATTCTTCTCTTCTCCCTCTCTCTCCGTGGAAACGTGGGGATAAAACTGAAATAGTTACATATTTGCTGAAATTAAGGATCTGTGTACTTCCTCACAAGTGAAAAATCACACCTATTGTGAACAGACTAGTACCTAGTGCCTAGAAAGCGTGAGTAGGTACTTACAAAACAAGCATACGCTCTCCACTCTGAAACACCACCAAATAAACCACGTAGAAGAGATCGAGCCCCGCTGCAGACTAAGGGACCTAAGCACATTTTTGGCTCGTGAACGTGTCTCTAATGTTGGAAAGCACTTTTCAAAATGCTGAAAAATTAGCTAGCAGCAGCTAGTGTTGACTTGAGAGCCCTATTTGTAGCGCTCGGACACTATGAAAATTAAGTATTATAAAGCACGTACAAAGAGAATCAAACTTCTCCAGGGAAAACAAAACAGAGAGTAAACATCATGTCTCTCTTGATTCAGTTCTGGAGGGTGTTATTAAGAGTCAAGAGTACCTTTGGCCCACAGCACATGGAAATAACCAGGCTTTGAAATGAAAGCTTATTAGGATCAGAGCACTCAAAGACAAAGGTACAGCAATTAGCAATACTATTTAAGCACCAGTAAATCATCTTCTCACAGCTCATTCTGAGAAAAAGAATTTCACAAACACTTTTTTAAAAAAAAAAATTGTGTCTTTCTCCTGATGTGTGATATTAAACAATATATATAGATAGATAAATTCAGGGAAAACCTTTTTTTTTCTGAAAGTGTTTCTTTCTTTTCCACACTAGCACTTCCCTGTTCTTTTGCCAACTCGGTGATGCAGCAGAGGACAGCACAGGACATCTTCCTACTGAGCACTGCCCTGAAAGGGGTCAAGTCTTGGATAATCCTGAGCAAGCAGACAGGTCCCCAGACTGGAGGATGAGCCCTGTCCAGACAGCCCAAGTGGTTACTTACCCCTTCTGGGAGAACTTCAGTGCTGTGTGGATGGGGTAGCCCAGCGTCCCCACGACGCTGCAGCTGGCACGGCATTTCAGCAGAGACCGAACCATGTCCTCTTTGCCCAGCTGACAGGCGAGATGCAGAGCAGTCAGCCCTTCATGGCTCAGGTGGTCCAAGCCAGCAGTTGGGGTTCTGCCCAGGAGCTGGGAAGAGGAAACAATAGATAAATAAAATAGACAGACATGGAAGAGCACCATCTCCCTTCCTGAGCATCGACAACAGGCTCTGGAGCACTGGGTTCTTCACGACGCTACAGCCTGTCCTCTCCACCCCTGCTTCCCACACAGCAGCTATGGAAGCACTCCTTGTTTGCTCTCCCCAAAGGGTTTATCGCTGCTCTCTGTGCCCTCTTCCTCTGGCCTGGGTGGTTCTGAGACACCCCTCAGCCAAAAAGGGCTCACACCACCTTGAACGACACAGCCCAGCAGACTTCCACCATCTCCCACTGTGTGAGCCAAGCTCAGCCCAACCAAATTAAACCAGTAGCTCCCTCTCCTGCTGCGGCCCCATCAGTTACCACGGCCAGTCAGGAGGCAGCAGCTCAACCTCCCCTGCAACTCCACCATTGCTTTCAGATACAAATGGGATTCTGTTTAAAATATATATATGGGGATACATTTGAAGGAATTTTCCTATTCTCCCTGGAAATTTTAGATCTGTTACCTGCTGACTGGTTTGTTACACAAAAATATCCCACCGCTGTACTGGGAAACCCTGTGAGCCCTGGTGCGCACGAGAGAAGTGAAAATCTAAGAGGTTTTTTTCCTCTGGTTTAGCAAGGAATCAGGAGAGAAAAGAAACAAACAGGAGACAGATCAGACCTGGAAGTATTTCTGTAACAGCAAGCCAAGTTGCTGCCATCAGAGAAATAAAGGAAGATGGTATCTTTTTAATACCAAGGTCCTAACTGCCCTGCTTCACAGCATGGCAAGGATCATTACCCCTCCCCCATCATGCATTAGGAAACACCAGCACAGTCTGGCAGGCAGAGGGAGAGCTGTCACAACAGGCATTGGGCAAATGCGGGGAGTGCAGCTGTAGGGGAGAGCCGGTCTCGCGCTGGGGAGCTGATAAACCTGAGGAACCAAAGCGGAAGGCCACCCACGCCCTTACAAACCCTGTCACTCTGCCCAGCACTTCTCAGCAATCGAGAATGCCTCTGGCTTCAGACTGTCTTGGCCTCGAGGCTCTGATCAGTCCCCCGTGCAATGTCACTCAGTTCAAACAACAAGTTCTGCAGCTCAGGAGAGCCCCGGGTGGCTCCGAACTGTCCTTCAGCTTGTTCCGCTGCAGGGTTGAATCTGGAGCCTGCTTACAGGAAACAGCACCAGTAAAGTGGGAAGAAAGAGGCTGAAATCAGCCTCAAGCATTAACTCAATGCTGCAGCAGAGGGAATGGACTTTCTCCTCCCCTGCCTGCAGCTATTTTCCTGTCTCCTCCCCATGGCATAGAGAGGACCCCTTCCAGTCCCACTCCCTCCCTGCTTCAAAATCGCTCCCACCTCGATGATGTGGGGGCTGTTCCCTCGCACAGCGTAGTGGAAAACGGTCTCCCCGTTCCTGTCGGTAATGTCCACGCGTGCGTGGCACTCCAGCAGCTCCAGCAGGCACTCCATGTCTCCCTTGCGGCACGCCAGGTGCAGCGGGGTGCAGCCATCCTCACTGTCCGTGCTGTTCACGCAGCTGCAAGAGACAAGTCAAGGTGAGGATGAGGAAGGGCTGCGGAGACGAGGCCCTGCAGCTGCCCAGGAAGACGACACGTCTGCGACAAGCCCGGCTGGCACGAACCACAAGGTTCACGAAAGCCCGGCCTCTGGCCAGGGAAGGAGCATGGGCAAGGGCCGCCAAGCAGCCGTGCCACAGACCCTCTCCCTGACACGCTGCTCCTTCCTCTGTTCCACATACGGGAGCAGCTCCCCATGCCCAAAGAAAGGCAGGAGACAAATTACAGTGAGCAACCTGACAGAGGTGCTGCCATCAGTCCCCCAGTCCTCTAACTCCTCACTTGTCTCCTCTACCCTCAGTGAACTTCCCCATGGAAACAGGGCAAGGGCTTGTGGCCAAAAACCATTTCCAGAAAAACAGTCCTACTGTACCTCTTGTGGGGAGCCAAAACCCACTCTGAAAAGCAGCTCCACAAGGGTTGTAAGAATCTAACTAGGGCCTCTAAGCAAAACACTTCAATCCTTTAAGCCCAGACACCAGAGCTGTGGGCTTTAACTTCCACAGCAGCAGGCTGAAAGGCCGCCAACAAGCTTACACAGCAACCACCGGGCGCCCTTTGCTACCACGTCTGTCATTCAGGCAGGACGCACCAAGGGGGGCACTTTTAAACTCGACCCACGCAGTAACCACAGGTGTTAAGCTCCCCCAAGAAGCATTGGTACATCAAGCCAGGATACCCTCATCTGGCCTAGCCGGCCCTCCCGAGCTTGTTCCCAGCACCAGGCCCACCGGGGACCCTTGCCCCCGCGCCTTGCCTCAGAACGTGGTTGTGCCGGAAGCTCTCACGACGGCCGAACTCCACCGCGACATGCGCTGCAGACCAGCTGGGGTGGTCGCGGAAGCAGTCGCTGAGCTGCTGGAGATCCTCCAGCGACAAGGGCTGGTGCGAGCTCTCGTAGAAAGGGCGCAGCTGCCTGCTGTACTGCTCGAAACGTGCCAGGGCATCTGCTTCATTGTCGAGCTGGAACAGCCTAGAGGGAAGGCAAACGCAGTGTTGGTCCTGCTCAAGGAAACAATCTCCGTTCCACGCAGCTGAGAGAAACGGCTCTTCTCTAAACGTTAGTGCTGGATACTCTCCCAATCCTCCTCGTCTAGTGTCACGCTTGTTCCAAGGGAAGAAGGGAGCCTAATTCAATAGCAGAGAGCATCTCCTCTTCCTGAGGAACGCTAACTTTTGGGCCAAAGCATCCTGTGCTCCAGAAGCTAAAGCAGTAACGGGTACGAGTGGAAGTGCATGTACTTGTGGATATTCTGACCCGAGTACCTATTTCACAGTTGTGTGTTTTCACTGTTTGGACTCTGTCCTGCCCTGTTCTCACAAGCTGTTTTGATGACAACTCCTCCACCAGCACACGCAAGCGCCTCGCACTCCTCATGAGCCCACCTGCTGATCAAATACATCACCCCACACCCACTGCCATCCTGAGATCAGAGGGTTCGAGTCTTTAGTTTCATGTTTGACTAGTGACTGCTAAAGGTCTGTCACTTACCGGAAAGCAACCTGCGGGCTCTGGGGATTCACCAGCAGGCAATCCCAAGAGCGAGCGAGGCTGTTCTTATACAGGGCCACCCTGCCTTCCTCCCTCAGGCAGGTGTGAGCGGCATACTCCGCAGCCGGCACCTCCTTCACCCGGTAAGGGTTTGTGAATATCTGGGTGACGCTGTTGATGGTATTCACCAGCCGGCCAAAGAACTGCATCTTTCAGGAGCTTCAGGCGGCTTCTTCCCCGCGCCCTGAGGGACTCCCGGCCACAGGCTCCGCCCGGCTCCTTCCCCGAACTTAGCGACCCAGTGCCAGGAAAGGGGAACTGAGAGCCGCGGGGTGACAGGCCGCCCGGGAGGAAAGCTCGGCAGCGGCACCTGTGGTTTCCTTCCTGGCTCCTCCGCAAACACACCCGGTTCTCCTCAGCGCCTCACGGCGACCGCCCACCTCTGACCTCCCTCTCCCGGGCC